CGCCCCCCCCCCCCCCCCGTCATGCCCCAAACGAAAAACTCCATAAGAGTCCGTACAAAGCCCCTGGAAAAGGAAAAAGAAGAGGGAAAAAACAGGGTTTATGGAGGAAGGAAAAAAAACCCGTCACCTCTGAAATCGGCATGATCAGGCCAAGTTGACCCAGCTAATATCTATTATCCAGTGAGAGAGGCCGAGAAGCGGATCTTGAAGCAACTCTTATCGTAGCCAAGAGAGCGAGAGAGAGAGAGAGAGCTCAGTTCCGTCCAAGAAAGAGAAAGAGATCCAAAATCGATTTATAATATATGTAAATATATATACACACAGTCATACAAATGCGTAAAAGGGTATGAAGGTATGGGTGCCTGTGCCACCTTGAAGGAGAGCGACCGAGGGGAGAGAGAGAGAGAGGCGATTTATGAGAAAGAAAGTGATAATATTCTTTTTCATATGGTTAAAAAAACATAATAATATTAATATTGGATGATAAATATCTTAACCCCTCTATTATTATATTAATTAACTAATTAATTTTTATTCCAATATAATTGGCCCAGAAAAGCATTTTTAAATAACCTTATTCTCTCTCTTTGATTTTTTATGGGTTATATTTATAAAATCACATTAAAAGAAATACTATACTTATCAAAATAATAAATGAAATTAATTTCTCTCGGGGTAAACCGTTAATTAAGTTTAGGGAAAATGCCCTAATTGGAATCCAAATGGTCAATTTAAGAATAGACATCTAAACATTAACTGTCATTTTTTCCTAAATTTGTTTTGTCATTTGTCTTTGTGTCTAAATGTGAAAACTTTTTTTTTATTTATCTAATTTAATTAACAAATCTAACATTAAGATTTTTTATAAGTTCTCCGTAATCAACCAAAGTCAGCTCTTCAAAATTACTGTTTATGTAATAATAATGAACAAAAAAATCAAGTTTGTAATAACAAAATTTTAGATAATTATAACTTTAAATTCAAGCGAAAATAACGGAAACAACCTATTTATATAGGTAAAAAAAATTCTTCTACCAAAAAAATTGTAAATTTAAGTGTGCCTAACAAAATAAATTAACCTTAAAATTTTATTGCAAAATTAAAACTCCCCATGTGTCCCTTATGGAAAAAGCATAAAATTATCAAAACTATGCGACTTTTGTATTTTTGTAGAAATTTTTCATTCCATATCTTATTACTTAGTATTTAATTTTTATTTTTTTATTGTACGATAACTCGTTTTTAGATTTAATTTTCTTTTTTTTCTGTTTGTGTAATAAAACGATATGCTTAAGATTGATATTTCGATTTATTATAATTAGTTTCATGCGTGTTTACGTTGAGAATGGGAGTTTTGGGTAAAATTAATTTGTCATTAAATATTTGAATGTTTTAAAAAATAGTTTCTCGTTACACATATATGTTTGCACTAATCTAAATTAAAAACGGAAAAAAATCAGAACAAAACAATATGCACTTCCAAAAATATAAAATTGTGGATCCACAATAAATTGTCCTTACTTATATTGGTACAATGGTATATGTTTTAAAATATAAAAATGTTAAGATAAATAGAGGATAGTAGAAACCATATAATTAAGGAATTCTTGGTATTGATATTCTATATATATTTTGATTTAATTCTGTTGTAAGTTAAATATTTTTTAATATTTAATAGTCAATGAGATTTATATTCTGTCCCTAAAGTTTATATTTTTATATATTGTATTTTAAAATAAAAAATTTTAAAAAATTGTTAAGATTGCCTATTTTTTTTAAAGTTTACCATTAACCGTTGGGTTTTTTTTTCTTCGTCAATTATGGAGTTGGATATTTTTCCATGCTCTTTTATCTATCTTTCTTATAATTCCACTTGACTTTTGTACATTATTTCTTTTTAATAAAAAATAACCTTTACCAAGAAAGAAAAATATATTTCATCCTTATGTTTGAATTTTATCATAAAAATTATATTTTTTTATAGTAATGATGTATGTGGTGTGAGATAGGTTTTTATACAGATGATGATCTCATTCGAGTGATTAATTTGTTCAATTTATTTATTTTCATCTAGTAATTATATATATATATATATAATTAGTTAAAAACGTGCAAATTACATAGGAATACAAACACGGAATACAACAAAAACATTGATCTATTTTAAATTATGGGTGTTAAATTAGATAGGTTATTCAATATCTACTAATCAAGGGGTCAAATCCTTTACTCTTTGTGTTTTCAAATCAAGAAACTGAAGCATTAAATTTAATTAGATATGCACAAAATTATCTACGTTTTCTATCTTTAATTTTTTTATTTTATGTTTTCTTCTTATTATTCGAAACATATTTAATTTATTCATTTTATCGTTTTTTATATTCCTAATAAAATCCAAAAATACTATAATTTGCATCAATTAAAGCAAACATTGGTTTCTCCCGGTTGGCTTGGATATGTTCAATGAACCAACCATTACACAGTGACCGAACTGACATATACATACATATATATATTAATAAAATTGAACTTATCTTGTTCTCACTATTTATAAATTGAATATAGTTGTTAAATGTTGGAAATTTAATTAAAAATGCTGGATTTTGTGTGAAAGAAACAAGAACAAACTTTCACCGTATACACATAACGAAATTAAACTCTTGGATTTTGTTTGGCTTTATATTATTTTCGAATTTAAGTTGAAAAATAAACTAATGTTTTTATTTAGCTTTGCTTCGAATTTGATTTTTATTTTAAAAAAATATATACACTCAATTTTCCGGTTTTGAACCATTGTGAAATTCAATTTGAGTTTTTTTAGATTCCATTAAACTGTTTTTTTATGAAAAAAAAAACATAAACAGTGGATTATTCGTAATTTTTACCCAAAAAAGATTATTATTATTATTATTATTATTAATTTCATGATTTATGGGATAGTATCCCTAACTGGTTCGGGCAGTTAGGACTAAACACCTAAAAGGGGACAAAGCTACATGGCACAGATCACTTAGTAAGCAAGAATCTCGCCTTGTCTATCTTTGTTTACTAGATTGCGATCTTTTGGGCTTTGCACCCATTACTTTAAAATTTAATTTTATATAATTAGCCTTTAATTATTCTTTAATTAATATCATATTTTGTTAGGGCTTTTGTATCATTCAACCTCTCAATAGAGCTAAGAGACAAACCGAATAATTTTATTATTATTTTTTCGTTCTTATGGGTTCACTGAATCTTTCTTGTTGCCTTGGGTTTTAAACACATGCGATTTGGGGGGATGAGAATTAGGGATTTGAAGTTAACTAACCTCGGAATCATGTAATTATGTTATAATCAGATCGTTAATTGTTCAATTAACTAATGGTTGGGGTTAAACTAATGTTTTGGTTAACTTAATTTACGAGACGCTTCGGAGACCCAAGGGAATGAGGTTTAGATTGTTAGGGAGATCAATTATCTAAAGTTATTGTGCCAATAATTATTATTATTATTATAAATTGATGGGGGATTCAAAGAATATTTTATATCTTTTTCGATTAAATATTATATAAATTAATGTGGGCAATAATTTTTTATCAAATACATTATATACATGTTATATTTAATTGCACATATCAATCACGTAAGCATATATATATATATAATTGAATTTTATGAACTCTCGTGGTTGGCTTTACTAAAAAAGAAAGTAAACCGGAACTACGTATACTTTGGCCGGTAATTACCATTATACAAATATATATAATTTCGAAATAACATTTTTTAAGTTAAAATTAATTTGATGTATCGTTAAAAGTCAAACTAAATTCAGAGGTCTCGTCTACATCAAGTCACGCTCTTGTAGGGTCAACCCCATTTGTGTGTATATACATATATGTATATATATATATATATATACACACACACACATATGTCAGTATTTACTATGGGCCGGATCGATCCTCGAGTAATGTGATTGGGCCGGACACACGTGGGTTTGGGAAGGCCCAATTATACATAGTTGGGCTTAAGTGAGGCCCAATGTAGACACAAGTGGGCTTAAGAGAGGTCCACGTGTTCATGATTTTGGAAAATACCAACAAACTCTGAAATTAGTCAATTGCGTAATTTGCTGAAAACCATTAAAAATTATTATAATACACTTATAGGTTGGTTGAGATTTATATAATTTAGAAAGAAAAAAAATATATTGACCAGTCCTTTTCTCTTACCCAGACATTTATTTTTGTATGTTTGAAATTTAAAAAATAAACAGATATAAAATATACAGATTAACCTGTTGGCAAAGCAACATGTTACGGCAAAGCAATATTTGTCCAATGCACCATATTCCACACACACAGACAAAAAAAAAAAACAAATATTCCATATTATAATAATTATAAAAATGTTATCGATCAAGGTCACATGCCCTTAATTTTACATTTGAATGATCTTGAGTAAATAATCCCAAAATTTATGTTTTTCTTTTTTCCCCAAGGCAGATAGTTATTGAATTCTATAAAATATTAATGGCAATAGAAATAAATATTACATTATAGTTTTATATTTTATTTACTATAACAGCATTTCCCGCCAAGATACTTAAAATTTGATATTATGTCAAATAAATAACTTCTAAATTGGATCCATTTAGAAAATTTTCTGAAAATTCAACCTAGAAAAAAGATTAACACCATCTAAATTATAAAATAAAGGATTATAATAATATGGAATGTTTTGAGGTCTTTATAGAGAGGAGTGAAGTACATGTACCCATATGAAAATTTCTCGTAATTACAGGGGCATAAATCGCAATTTTAACATATTATTTTTTTCAACAAAAAAAAACATGAATGCAAAGCTGGGATATCAACTTCAAAGGTACTCCATATTGTTAACAAACGTTACGCTGATTCCTCAACGTCTTTCAAAAATGTTTTGCTTACAAGCCTCCTTCGGTTACATTTTTTTATTTATTTATAATGTATTTCCACGCATTTTTATTTACATTTTATATACTAAAAGCATAGTCTTATTTCCATGCGTTTCACCAACTTCTTGTTCGCATTACAAACACTATATAACCATTGAAACAGAGCTAGGGTTTCATCACAATCTGTTCATCCAAAAGAAAAAAAACAAAGGGAAAAACCCGGAAAAAAATGCAGAGAATTCGAAACCCGAGTTTCCTCGTTCTCTTGTTTTGCTTTCTTGAATTTTCCGGTAGTTTTCCGGTCGAAGCCGCCGTCAAGAAGTACCAGTTCGATGTAAGTATCGACTTTTTCTGACGTTGAATTCATATATAACAATGCATGGAACATGAATGCATTGGTTTAATACCGGTTTAATATAAACCGGTTATGTTTTTTTAGTCGAGATTTGACAAACAACTCGGTTGCCCAATAGTAATTGACAAATGGAAAGAATAAGGAATTTGTGCAATCCATTTAATTTTCGACATAAAATTCTGATTAAATATTTTGATCAGGTTCAAGTGAATAACGTAAGCCGGTTATGCCACGCTAAACCGATCGTAACGGTTAACGGAATGTTTCCCGGTCCAACGATTTACGCAAGAGAGGGAGACCGAGTCATCGTCAACGTCACCAACCATGCACAATACAACATGTCTATCCATTGGTAAGTCTCTCGGTTTAAAGTCTAAACCGGTTTTACACATTCCCGGTTCTGATACGAACTCCCCCACCGGTTTATCCATAATTCAGGCACGGATTGAAACAATACCGGAACGGTTGGGCCGACGGACCGGCCTACATAACGCAATGTCCGATTCAGACCGGTCACAGTTACGTTTACGACTTCAATGTGACGGGACAACGAGGGACGTTATGGTGGCACGCTCACATACTGTGGCTACGAGCCACTGTTTACGGAGCCATCGTCATTATGCCTAAACCGGAAAAACCGTTCCCGTTCCCGCAACCACACCTAGAAACCAACATAATCTTCGGTTAGTGAAGTCCATAACCGAATCAATGAGCCCGGTTTACCGATAAACCGGTCGATAACCATGTTTGTGGAATTTTATCCTTGCAGGGGAATGGTGGAACGGTGATATTGAGACTCTTGTGAACCAGGCGAATCAATTAGGTTCGCCTCCTCCAGCCTCGGATGCTCATACCATCAACGGGAAGCCCGGACCGCTAAAATTTTATTGCAAAATTAAAACTCCCCATGTGTCCCTTATGGAAAAAGCATAAAATTATCAAAACTATGCGACTTTTGTATTTTTGTAGAAATTTTTCATTCCATATCTTATTACTTAGTATTTAATTTTTATTTTTTTATTGTACGATAACTCGTTTTTAGATTTAATTTTCTTTTTTTTCTGTTTGTGTAATAAAACGATATGCTTAAGATTGATATTTCGATTTATTATAATTAGTTTCATGCGTGTTTACGTTGAGAATGGGAGTTTTGGGTAAAATTAATTTGTCATTAAATATTTGAATGTTTTAAAAAATAGTTTCTCGTTACACACGCTCTTCCCGTGTTCTGAGAAACGTAAATTCGATAAATTCAGATTCGTTTATATAGATTTCAGAATATACGATCATTTAAGATAATAGTCTTATTTAGAATCTTAATGTTGGTTAGATACATTTGCATTGGAGGTCGAGGCGGGTAAAACGTACCTTCTGAGGATCATAAACGCAGCTTTGAACGACGAGCTCTTCTTCGCGGTCGCGGGCCACGACATGACCGTTGTTGAGATCGACGCGGTTTACACCAAACCGTTCATAACCAAAGCCATCCTTCTTGGTCCAGGTCAGACCACAAACGTTTTGGTTAACGCTAACCGGCCTCCAAACCGGTATTTCATGGCGGCGAGACCGTTCATGGACGCTCCCGTACCGATTGACAACAAAACTGTGACTGCTATTCTTCAATACAAAGGCGTTCCGAATACTGTCTTACCGGTTTTTCCCAACCTACCCGCACCAAACGATACGACTTTCGCCTTAGGTTATAACAGCAAGCTCAGGAGCCTTAACTCGGCTAGTTTCCCGGCAAATGTACCTTTGAAAGTAGACCGTCAATTATTCTACACCATCGGATTAGGGACAAACCCTTGCCCGAGCTGTGTGAATGGGACGAAGCTCGTGGCCTCGTTGAACAATGTAACATTCATTATGCCGAAGACAGCTCTGTTGCAGGCTCATTACTTCAACATTTCAGGCGTTTTCAGGACTGATTTCCCGGACCGCCCTCCAAAACCGTTCAATTACACGGGCGCTCCTCTAACGGCTAACCTCGGGACCTCGCTAGGAACGAGGCTGAGTCGGGTCGAGTTCAATACGACGATTGAGCTGATTTTGCAGGACACGAATCTTCTAACTGTGGAGTCACACCCATTCCATCTCCACGGGTACAACTTCTTCGTCGTTGGGACCGGAGTAGGAAATTTCGATCCCAAGAAAGACCCGGCTAAGTTCAATCTCGTCGACCCGCCCGAGAGAAATACAGTCGGAGTCCCGACCGGGGGATGGACCGCCATCCGATTCAGAGCCGACAATCCGGGTAAGTTACGACAATATATACATAAAATGCAGCATTTGTAATGAGATGAAGCCATAAACTGCCGTCTCTTTCAGGTGTCTGGTTCATGCATTGTCATCTGGAAGTCCATACGATGTGGGGACTGAAGATGGCTTTCGTCGTTGAGAACGGAAAGACACCGGAGGAATCTGTTCTTCCGCCGCCAAAGGGCCTTCCTCGGTGCTAGAATCCCGACCAAACGGAGTCCACAGATTTCTTCTTTCTCTGTGTTTGATCAGTTTCTGCATATGTTTCCTGCAACTTTCACCTGCAGAATCTGGCAGATGATTGTTCTTCTTTCGCGATTGGTATTTCCTGTAATGATTTGTGTATGAGATTGTTTGTCGGATCGTACAAGATCCCAAAAATGTATAATAATCAATACAGGGGAGGTGAATGGATAGGCTCATTTTTAAGATTTAAATATTTTATTGTAATGTGAGAAAAATATTGTTATTTGAATTAAAACATGATAATGTAGCAAAACTATAAAGATATATTGACAAAAAAAAAGCTATAATACATGTAGACTTACTAATATTTGCTTGTCGTGATATGGAGATAAATCAGGTTCACATGTTTTCCTTACTGGATTTGATTACGACATATTATAAATCATAAATAAATAAACATGTTTTGAACAATTGTTTAAAAAATGGAATATTTATTTTATTTTATATTTTTTTTACAACTATAAAATTTTGAAATAAATATTCATATAAAATATTTTTATTATTATGTATGGAAGTTGGTTTAATTTAATTTTTAAAAATTACATTTAATTTATTTTTAAACAAAAAAGGGAAAACTGTCGGGAAATGGTAAAAACGATATTTAAATCATATTTTAATGTTATTCTCTCTCTGACGCTTTTAAAAGGAGCGCTCCTGTTTCATGATCAGGCTTTGTACTTTGGTGGATTCTTGGATCGATCCAAAAAAAGCTGCTCTCTTTCTTTCTGGGTATTTCTCTTTTTCTAAATCGACTTTTATGTTCTGTCTTTTTTTTGTTTGTCGTCTCTGCAGTGACTCATCTCATTTCCTTTTGTTCTTCTGGTTTTCGATGATCTTTCAAATTTTCTTGAGAATCTGTGGGCTTTTCGTTTTCCGGTAAAAAAAAGACAGTTTTTTTTTTGTGTAAGAGAACTGGACAGAGTGTTTTTTTTTTCCTTTGTGGCCAGATGAGAGGAAACTTTGGAGGCTGGGAATTGTTGGTGGTAGCCCCACTCACGTGAAAGTAACAAAACAGAGAAATTTTCTCTGGGCGTGTTTGTTTCCTGGGAAAATTTCGTGTTCCTGCGAAAAAATTGGGACTTTGGTCAGGCAGTGTGGTGAACAATTAGGGTTTATTGTTCTTCTACTTTAAGGAAAAAGCGGAGCTGAAGTGGATGAAATCGTGACCGAGGTTCAAATCGAAGCTGGTGCTGATCGGGATCCACTGAAATCCCCGGCCGAGACCAGAGGTTTTCCGGTGGCAAATGCAAAGAAATCCGGTGGCCATGGAGTTCTCCGGCGAGAAACAGAGTTTGAGTTTATGGTTCTGAGATCTCCGGCGACCAGAGAAGAAGTTCCATCCAGTGGATAGCGAGGAGATTCCGGCAGGCCTCGAAGAACTCCCGGCGAAAATCCGACAAAGCAGACAACTTTCCGACGGAAACCCCATACTCTCCGGTGGGATTGAAGAAGTTTCCAACAAAAGTCCACACGGTGAGAAATAAAAAAAAACATCCATCTGTTAAATTTCAAGTTTCCACTCGCATTTCCTGCTAAATCTAGCGCCTTGTCCATCTCTTTGAAGTTTAGGGTTCCTCAGTAACATATAGAAGAAGCAGAAAATGCTAGCTTTAATGGAGTCAAATGGGAAGAAGGCGAAGGATTGCAAAGAAGATAAGAGCTTGGATTCACAGCTATGGCATGCTTGTGCCGGTGGAATGGTGAAGATGCCGCCGGTGAACTCCAAAGTCCTTTACTTCCCTCAAGGCCACTCGGAGCACGCCTCCGCCGCTGTGAATTTACCAAACTGCCCTCGCATTCCGCCATTGATTCTCTGTCAAGTTACCTCCATGAAGTTCCTAGCTGATCCCGAAACCGATGAGGTTTACGCCAAAATCGGATTGGTTCCTGTGGCTTCAGGCCTCGGATTCGACGAGGAAGAAGACGGGCTCGGGTCCGATGAAGGCGAAGGGGGCAATGCTAAGCAGCCTGCTTCATTCGCCAAGACGTTAACTCAGTCGGATGCTAACAATGGAGGCGGATTCTCTGTTCCGAGGTATTGCGCTGAGACGATATTCCCGAGGTTGGATTACACGGCTGATCCGCCCGTGCAGACGATATTAGCTAAGGACGTTCATGGCGAGACGTGGAAGTTCAGGCACATTTACCGCGGAACCCCTCGCAGGCACTTGCTCACGACGGGATGGAGCACTTTCGTAAACCACAAGAAACTCATGGCCGGCGATTCCATCGTGTTCTTGAGAACGGCGAATGGAGATCTCTGTGTCGGGATTAGGAGGGCGAAACGCGGGATTTCTCCTGATGGGTCTGAGATGCTGTCTCCTGGGTGGGGCAGCGGACCCGATTCATATTTCTCTGCGTTTATGCGGGAGGCCGAGGAGGGGAAGCTGATGAGGAGGAGGAGGAGTAATGGCAGTGAAAATGGCAGAACTAATCGCTCAGGGAGAGTACGGGCAGAGTCGGTGGTTGAGGCGTCAGTATTGGCAGCGAGCGGGAATGCATTCGAGGTGGTTTATTACCCGAGGGCAAGCACACCGGAGTTCTGTGTGAAAGCAGGGGCTGTGAGGCGAGCGATGGGGATCAGATGGTGCCCGGGTTTGAGATTCAAGATGGCGTTTGAAACCGAGGATTCATCCCGGATCAGCTGGTTCATGGGTACCGTTTCATCCGCACACCCCGCTGATCCTATCCGATGGCCCAACTCTCCTTGGAGGCTTCTCCAGGTAAACCCGAGATCAAAATGTGCTAAAGTCTGATCCTTTCAGCGTGATCGTTTTCCGTTTAGCTGAGAATATTTCAAGTTTCTTTTACCGCTCTAGGTTGCTTGGGACGAGCCGGAATTGCTGCAAAACGTGAAACGGGTGAGCCCGTGGCTTGTGGAACTCGTCTCCAACATGCCCGGCGCCCTTCACTTCTCCCCGTTCCTGCCTCCGCAAAAGAAGCCGAGGCTTCTGCTCCAACCACCGGAGTTTCCACTCAACACCGCTCAATTTCCCGTCCCGAAATTCTCCTCGAATTTATTCGGGTCGAGAAACTTCCTCAGGTGCTTACCCGACAACAACAACTCCGACAAAAACATTAACATTCCTGCTGGCATGCAGGGAGCCAGGCATGCTCGTTTCGATCTATCACGAACCGATCTCCATCTCCACAAGCAAACCCTCTCGGGCGATCCTTCCATTCTTCTTCCCACCCGAACCACCTCGCTTATGGGCCTAAGCGATAACGGCGTTTCTTGTTTTCTGACTATGGCTTACAATAATTACCCGACGGCAAAGAAGACGATAACCACGCCTCAGCTCGTGCTGTTTGGTCGGCCTATCCTCACCGAGCAAGAGATCTCTCTCGGCGGCTCGTGTGGTTCGATGACATTGAAGGATTCTTCTTCAGACAAGAATCTTGACAGAACAGCTAAGCTTCTGTCCTTGGTAGAGCTGGAAGAACCTGAGATGACTAGCTTGGAAACAGGACAGTGTAAAGTATTCATGGAGTCAGAGGACGTTGGCCGGACACTCGACCTGCCGCTGCTTGGATCTTACGACGCACTCCGCGAAAATCTAAGGCGCATGTTCGGAATCGAACATCCCGACACGCTAAACAGCCTCGTGTACTGCGATATCTCGGGTTCTGTCAAACCCGTAGGAGATGAGCCCTACAGGTGAGTGAATCATCGTTTCCATTTCTTCGGTATGACCATTTCGGATATCGGTTGGGTTCAGTTTTTTCGGTTTTAGAAAAATATGAACATTTAGTTTTAATATTGAATGCGGTTCGGTTCGTAGATTTGAAAATGATTGTTGCATTTGCAGCGAATTTGCAAGAACCGCAAGAAGATTGACGATTCCGGTGGATTCAGGCAATGGCAGAGAAGGAATCTAGTGATGAATTCATAACCATACCGGTTAAACCGGACGGGTTTGATTTGGTTTGTAAGTGTACAGCGAGCCGACATTCTTGTGCTTGATTTTGATTTCAGACATGAAAGACTTCTTAAACATGAATGAATCGGAATTATCTTGTAACAGACTGCTTCTTATTATTATTATTATTATTATTATTTGGGTTATTTTCATTATAAATAATTACAAAATAGCTATTAAAATTGAAATAATTAAAAAAGGCCGACCATTTCATTTCATTATAGCCGAGGACATGTTGCACTGAAAATCTTTTAGTGAAATAATGATTTTCAAAAAAGTGGGAATTACGTAGTGGTTCACGTGGCGATGCCGTAGCAAACGGGATATATAATTATAATTAACTATAATTTATTTTTTTATATTTTTAATCATGGGGATTGGCGATTCATGTATGAAAAAAATAATGATTTCGAGGGAGACAAAAAAAATCACAAAAAGAAAGTAGACAAAACTCGTCATGCAACTCGCACGTGTGGGTCCATTATGGTGAACTCTTAGTTATTTACGTCTTGCACGTGCGGGAGGATTCATGTTTGTTTTTTGTTTGGAATATTGTAGGATATTAACCTATTAATAAATATGTGTATGCTAATATATTTTGTATTGAAAATCGAATTTGAAACCTATGCTAGTGTGATATATCCTTAAAAAAAAACAATTTTTACCTATCAACCCAACATATATACATATATATCATATATGTGTGTATGTATGTGTGTATGTATATGTGTATGTATGAGCATAAAGAGTGCATGTGGAAGCGAGAGGGACACGAGGAGAAGGTGTTTTGCTTGAAAAATCGGTCACCGACAAACAGCAAAACCTTATTGCACTTAGCGACCAGATCCTTTCTTGGATCATGTGATGTCTCTCCAACCTTTCATTTGAATCTTTTTTTTTTTTCACTTAATTTAGTGATTCTCCTCATCATCTGCTTATGTCTATATCTATATCTATATATATATATATATATATCTATATATATATATATATATAACAGGGGTACTTTAGGCTAATTCCGAATTTTAAAAATATTACGTGAATCTTTTAGTGGTGGTCAAGAAATCATATATATATTTGATAATATGTGATTTGATGAGAGTGGGATTAATCATATATATATATATATATGATCCATTTTAATCCGGATTATATGTAAATAGGATTCACGTTTCATGTCGAGATGCATTCTAAACACTTGAATGATCTTCAAATTAGTTTCTCTTTGTATTTTTTGGCTTTCATTTAACTGTCTTATATTTGTTTCTTACAGTAGCCTAGTAGTTATCGAACTCTTGTTCCGAGGAAGTGAGAAAATCATTGAAAAATTTGTTATGAAACATTGTTTAGATATACTTTTATTTAATTCGAATTAAGGCATAGATTTAAGTGATTCAGTTATTAAGAAAAAAAAAAGGAACAAAACTATTCCAAGCGCTACGGTTGCCTCGAGATTCATCAAATATTTTCTTGATTTTCTCCTCATTTACCCACCGTTCATGGGCACTGTCTTCTACCAATATACACTCTCTCACACAAATATATATATATATATA